GCCTCCGGGGCGCCGCGCCCGCCTGTCGTCCCCCGGGACCAGCCGGCCGGCCCCCGAGGCCCGCGAGGAGCTGCGGCGCCGCCTGCTGGGGCTCATCGAGGGCAGCAGGGTGCTGGTGTTCAGCAAGAGCTACTGTCCGCACAGCTCGCGGGTATGCGGGGCGGGTGTCCCCAGCGTCCCCGCCGTGTGCCGGCGCCGGTCCCGCCCCGCTCGGCCTGGCCTTGCCCTCGCCCTCCTGCTTTGCTCTGTAGCCTGGGATGGGCTGAAGTTTTCAAGGCAGGAGAAGGTGTTTTCAGATGGAAGGAAGGGGCCCTGGAGCAGGGGCTGGGTCCAAACCCGCTTCGGAGTGACCTCGGCGTCCCACCGTGGTCAGAGGGAGGCGAAGGCAGCTGGAGGGCCTGAGGTCTCAGGAACTGCGGCCTTGACTTTGGGGCCAGCGGGGCATCCCCATTGCTTCTGTGGACAAATGTGCCCAGAGATTAAAAATACCCCGCTGGGAAGAGCTGTTGGCCGGGACTCACCTGTGAGCCAGGGTCTGCTCACGCCAGCAGGACGGGCACCGCCGTGAGAGCTGGAGGTGTGGGGCTGGGCTGGCAGTCCTAGGCCACTCCTGATTCGAGGTCGGTGGATTTGAGGCGGCTCCCGTGTAGGCAGACGGGTCGTATTACGTGTGTACGCGGGGTCTGTCCTCGGGCGGCTCCCGTGTACGCAGACGGGCCGTAGTACGTGTGTGTGCAGGATCTCCTCAGCAGCCACCCCGCGTGGTGCGTGCCCGTGCCTGAAGCTGCTTTCGCTGTTGCTGCTGTAATATTCCCTGGGCCAGTCAGACCACAGCTGGGCGTGCTGGCGTTGGCAGCTTTCGGCCCCACCAGCACAGGGTCATGCCTGTCCTTGCGTACCCCCTGCCTGCTCCAAGGGGACACCTGACACTGAGTCGCTGGGCCTTGGGCACCTCTTGGTTCCGGCTCCCGCGTGCTCAGACATGCACGCCCTCCTGCTGTTGCCCTGCAGCTGCACCTGCTTCCGAGTCGACACTGAGGATCAGGCCCCTGTGGCCGCCTGTGTCCTCTGAAACCTGCAGGTCTAGTGCCCACGCTCCCATGGGCCATTTTGTGTTTAGTGACTGACCCCAGGAGCACAGGCCCTCGTGGGCACTGACCCTTGCTCCTGCGGATTAGAAAGCGCTGAGAGCTGAGGGGAGTTCCTTCTCACTGCCTCCCGCCGTGCGCAGCCTCCCCAAGCCTCCTGGGGTTGATGGTGGCGACATGCAGGCTGCAGAGAGTTGTCCTCTGCGACTTCTCAGCTGTCGCTGCTCCATGCACGGCGAGCCCCGCCCCTCCACGCAGATGCAGGCCCACCTGTCCCCGACCAGGCCTTCCTGTCTCCTTGCAAGCTGTAGTTTCGGAAGCCCTTGGGGTGTGGGAGCCCCTGAGGTCTGAACTGTGTCTGCCCTGTATCGCTTGGGTCTGGGGTGGCCAGGCTCGTAGCGTGGATGGCAGGTAAATGGTCGCAGGAGTTCCAGATGGCCCAGCTCACTGCTGGCAGCAGAGTCCAGACCCTCCGCCCTCTGTCCCGTGGCCGCTGCCTGACTCCTGTTACAGGACTGGACAGCTGGGGTTGGAATTCTTCCCTTTTTAAAGACAGGGTCTCTGTCATGACCCCCCTCCCTCAGCCACCCGCTGGGAGTGCAGACTGCAGCCCCGTGCCGGCTCTTCCCAGGCCAGGCCTCACCGTGGGCCACCCTGGCCTCCAGAGTGCTGTCCTCTCGCCTCCACCCTCCTGAGTTGCTGGAATTGCAGGTGGCACCACAACACCTGTCATGTGGTAGGCCTGGGACTCGAACCCAGGACTCCAGTGTGGTCCGAGCCTCAGCAGCATGTGCCCCATGCTGGGCCCTGCTGCGTGCCTGTTCTTCTGTTTCAGACGTTTGCTGTAGGGTGCACGTGCTCGCTGTAGGCAGAGACAGAGAGAAGGTGCGACATTTCCCGGGGCCTCTGCGCCCAGCGGCCCCCACAGTGTGCCACCTGTTGCCTGGTCCCAGGGTAGGGGCCGTGTTTGCTGGTCCACACCATGGAATTGTGCATGCGGCTCCCACCTCATTGACCCCAGGCAGGCGGGGACGCGCGGGGGCTGCAGGGGCTCCCTGCCCCACGGAGCGCCTGGGGGCTTGCTTGGTACATGTTTCTTCACGCCACGTGCCTGCAGGAGCTGCCCAGAGGCCGTAAAGAGTTCGTTTGAAATGGTAGGGCGTCGGGGAGGTCAGTGCATTCTACGTAGAAATCACTCATGACTTTGCCAGCCCGGTGACTGACCGCGCGCGGCGTCTCACCGGGGAGTGGGAGTGGGACCTTCGGTGTCATCCGGAGGGTTGGCGTCGTGGGAGGGCTTTTGGGAAGGTGGGGGGGAGTGGGTTTTAGCACGCTGGGCACATGCACTGCCACCCTGCCACGCTGCCAGCCCCGGCACAGGCTGGGGTGGGCCCTGTTGAGGGGTCTCTCTCTTTCTGCCTCATGAAAGAAAGAAACTTCAAAATAAAACTGGCCACAGTTGCGAGAACTGGAGGGCACAGCTGACACCGAGAACTCGGGACGTCACTGAGCAGGCCAGTGGACGCTGGCTCAGACACGATGGCCACCGTGGGCCCGAGGGTGTGCGGCCACACAGGGGCTCGCTGACACACAGCCGTCAGCCAGGTGGGGGACGGCAGGAGTCGGGGAGCCGACAGCCTGTGACGCCAGCTTGTGTCGCTGCCTCCAGGCAGAGCTCTGCAGAGTGGCCGAGACGCAGTCCTGCCTGTGCGCAAGCTCCAGGCGATCAGGGCCGCCCCTCTGTGCCCCAGCGGAGTAGCAGGGCGCTGGGGTGTCTCATGCTGTGGGGACTTGGTGCGGTGGCTGCTCGTTCCACATGGCCTGCCTGCCCCGGGCAGGGCTGCTCTCTGACGTGTGGGTGGACACCTAAGAAGCCACGGCTCAAAGCAGCCACGGCTCACGCTGCGGTAGGCGAGTGACCATAGAGGGTGCTGGGGGCCGCAGCGGGGCCCACTCGGGGGTCCCAGGCGAGTGAGCGTAGGGGGAGCTGGAGGCTGCAGCGGGGCCCACGCGGGGGGTCCCAGGTTCCTGTCCTAGAGCCTCCCGGGCCTCCGGTGCCCACCATGCCACCTGCCAGGGCTGGTGCATCGTGCGAGGACTCCATGAGGCACCCCCTCCGGTCTCCTGTGAAGGAAATTGGGAGACCTAAAGTGCACTGGGTGGGAAGAGAGGAGGTGTGTGTGCCCTGGGCTTGTCGTCAACGCCAGGGCACCGGGTGGGCAGAGCAGGCCGGAGCGGAGGTCCCGAGGGATGCGGATCTGGAACGCCCTGCTCCCCGGCCACGCTCGCTGCTGGCCGGCCTGGCCGGGGCTTGACTGCCCGCCGCTGTCGCTGCAGGTCAAAGACCTCTTCTCCTCGCTGGGCGTCGGCTGCGACGTCTTGGAACTCGACCAGCTCGGTAAGGCGTGCGGCTCGCTCGTGGCTGTGTTGGTGATCGCTCTCCCATTCGTTTCGTCCAATTCGGTGTTCTCTCATCTCTGGGCTAGATGGGTCATTTTTATCCAAATTCAGCCATGCAGAAAATGAACTCTTACATGACAAATAATTTGGTGTCTTTTTTTTTTTTTGAAGGTTTTTACTATAAGGTACGTACGCTCACCAGAAAGACAGAGAGAGACAGAGAGACAGAATGTGAGAAATCACCTCCCGGGGGGATGGCCACGCCGCGATCCCTTCTCGGGATCTTGGGCACGCACGCACACGCGTCCGGCATGAGTTTAAGCCACCAGGTCCAGGACTCGAACCACGGTCAACTACACCATCTGCTGGTCCCTGGTGTAGCTTTTTATTTTATTTTTTTAAAGAACTATTTATTTATCATTATTATTATTTTTATTCATGCCTTTATTTTTTAATTTGCCCAGAAAGGGACACACATGCGCCTGGCGTGAGTTTAAGCCACCAGGTCCGGGACTCGAACTGTGGTCAGCTGAGTGGGAATGACCAGCGCCTTAACCACCACGCCACCTGCTGGTCCCTGGTGTGGTTTTTAACATGTGTATAGTCTCCGTGTTTGAGGGAGGGAGAGGAAGGAAGGTGTAGACACTGCTGGCCGTGAAGTGTCAGCGTCTACGGGTCCCTGCCACGTCTAGCCAAGCCAGCGAAGCCCTGGCATGTGAACGCGAGATGCCCGAGGGAGCACGTGGGGTTTCAGGCCGGTCTCTGAGCCCTTGGTGCCGTGCAGCTAGTTCTGGCTCAGCACTGGCCCATGGAGCACGGCGAGGGGGAGCGGGCTCTCCGGCACCGCCTTGGGCTGGCCGTGGCGCCCAGTGAGAAGGAGCCCGGCCAGTGCGAGTCTGAAGGGTCCTCGTGGTCCTGGGCCATTTTATTTTAAGGGATGGAGGAGAAATTTTGGACTGTGAATGTGAACATTTTTTCTAGAGTAATCTTAAGGAGTCTCTTCTAGGGACCAGCAGATGGTGTGATTATGTCGCTGGACTCCCACGTAGTCAGCCACCGTTCAAGTCCTGGACCCGGTGGTTTAAACTCACGCAGGGCATGTGTGCATGCGTGCCCAAGATCTCGAGAGGAGAATGGAGAAGGGATGGCGGCGTGGCCATCGCCCCTGGGGGTGGTTTCTCGCTTTCTGTCTGTCTCTCCTGCAAGTCTATGCGCCCTATGGCAGAGTCTCTCCGTGGGGGATGAAGAGGAAGCGCTCTGAGCTGCCACTGTTGACCTTGCCCTTCAGGGACGGCTCTTGCCTGTCTGTCTTGACAGAGCCACTGAGTTATTTAGCAAAGTCTAATTGACGAGAAGGGATCGAGCTTCATTCCGAAGGTCACTGTCTTTAAGGATTACTTTGAAAACTGGGCTCTCCCTGCAGGCCACCATTTCATGAAGCCGTGCAACATGCAGGCCTTCCCTGGGCGTGGACACGTGGCCCTCAGGTGTGGCACGTGGGCGAGCTCAGAGGCCTCCCTGCCCGCTGTTTTGTCTCTCAGACAACGGAGCCAGCGTGCAGGACGTGCTGGTGGAGATGACAGATCAGAGGACCGTGCCCAGCGTCTTTGTGAACCAGGTCCACGTGGGCGGGTGTGACCGCACGTTCCAGGTGACAGCCCTGGGCTCGGTGCTCCCGTCCTTCGGGGAGTTGTGGGATAAGAGAGTGGAGGGCAGCTGTTACCGTGGGACCCCATGGGCTCCAGAAGCTCAGCAGGTCTTCTTAGAGGTTCCATGATGAGTGGGCAGCCCGGGGTCTCCCTCCTGGTGGGCGAGAGGCAGGGCTGCTCCCTGATAGAATGAGGTCCCACGGACACTCTCGCCCTGCTCACTCGATTCCTCCCAGGGCCACCCTGGGCTTTTATTTCTTCCTTTATTTTGAGGTGTTTTTCTGTAGGGCGCGTGTACTCACAGAGACTAGACAGAGATGGGGAGAGAGTGAGAAGTCGCCCCCAGGGAGGCCACACCGCAGTCCCTTCTCCTCTTGGGATTTTGGACACATGTACACATACCCAGCATGAGTTTCAAGGTGCCAGGTCCAGGACTCGAACCACGGTCATATGGGAGTCTAGCCCCTTAGCCACCACGCCACCTGCTGGCCTCAGTAAGGTCCTCGTTTTATAATTGTTTACTTTCATTAAAATCCTACCTCGTACGCTTTGTGTCTTGGACACGTCAGGCGTTGGTGCTGCTGTTCGAGGTGTTAGTCTCACTGGGATGAAAGGGTCCCCACATTGTGTGCTCTACACGGTGGCGGCCTGCCGCATTAGTCCTGGAAGCCGGGCCCCAGTCCCCACCGGGGTAGCTGCGGCCCCTCACCGGACAGTAAAGCCAGACGACCAGGCCGACATGCGGAGTCGGCGATTGTGCCCAAGGACGGAGAGTCGTTTCCTGTAGGGCAGATCCTTAGGGGCGGACCTTCCTCAGGGCCTGAGAAGTGAGGAGTCCTTTCTGGGCTGTGCCCCAAGCTCTCAGCCTGGTTGGCCCCCCGAGGAGCACCTGCTGGGCCTCCCGGGAAGGCGGGGTCAGGTGTGGCCTTTCTAGAGCCAGGGATGGAGCAAGCTGTGCAGCATGGCGTGAAGGAGACCCTGCGGGTCCCCCCTGTGCCACCCACGCTGCCTCTGCACACACGGAGGGCCGCTCAGACAACACAGGGCAGCTCCAAGCCAGCCCCAGGACCGGCGCCAAGGCAGAGCAGCCGTCTGGCGGTGCTGAGAGCACGCCGGTGTGGCCGCAGTGCACAGTCAGCTGTGAGGACGCAGGATGGCGGCAGGAACGGTTTCAGACCGTAGCACAGAGGTCCTGGGGTGTGCTCTGCCAGACCATAGTACCTCGGTAGCAGGGCCAGGGAGCGTGACCTCAGGGCGCACAGGCGCAAAGGCACCGCCAGGGCCGTGGACACGCCCCGTCGGGACAGGCCAGGCGGATGCGGTGTATGTCCTTTGGCAGAAGCTCGAGCTGGCCCGGCTCCTGTCTGACGGCCTCCGCTCAGTCGGCCACAGCCGCTGAGGGTCGTTGCTCGCTTCTGAGATTCAGTATGAAGGGACCCACGTGGGTCCAACAGCGTCAGACACGCTTTTTCTTTTAAGTCTTTGCCGTAGGGTGCATGCGCCTGCCAGAGAGACGGTGAGGGGGAAAGTGGAAGAGCACCCGGGACGGCCACGCCGCAGTCCCTTCTCATTCCCCTTGGACTTGGGGCACGCACACACACGTGCCCATTGTGCCTGGGACCGCCTTGTCCTGTGCCAGTCCAGCGCTCACCCGCCCCTCCACCCACTGGCCCTGAATGAGCACTTGGCAACGTCCGACCGCAGCTCTTCTCTTCGCCCTCCCGCCACACGCAGGCGCATCGGAGCGGGCTGCTGCAGAAGCTCCTGCAGGAGGGTTCCCAGTACGACTACGACCTCGTCGTCATCGGGGGCGGCTCTGGCGGGCTGGCGTGCGCGAAGGTACAGACCCCGGGACGGAGGCCGCAGGGGCTCCTGCTGATCCCCACCTTGGTACTGGAGAGAAAAGCGGGTTTTGCTTTTGCTTAAGCTTCAGTTGTGGCCGGTTTAATTCAGGGAGAGGACCGTCTGTCCTCACTCGCGGGAGGGAAAGTGGAGTGCGGGGAGCGACAGGTCTCCGTGTGCTGTCCCCACAGGAAGCGGCCACCCTGGGGAGGAAAGTCATGGTACTGGACTTCGTGGCGCCGTCGCCGCAGGGCACATCCTGGGGTGAGTGCTGCCCCCAGGGTGCATGCACATGCCCTGGACACTCCTTTAACCCTCCGCAGGGATGGGGGTCGGCCTGACCCACGCGGAGCCATGGCGTGGCGCGGTTGTAGGTATCAAGTGGTACCGTGAGAAGAGAGTGTGAGGAGGGGCCAGCAAGTGGCATAATGGCTACGCCGCCAGACTCCCATGTAGTCGAGCGCGGTTCAAGTCCCCGACCTGGGGGCTGAAAACTCACGCCGGGTGCGTGTGCGCGTGTCCAAGATCCCGAGGAAGGTGGAGGAGGGGTTGCAGAGTGACCCCCTGGGAGGTGATTTCTCGCTTTCTGTCTCTCTGTCTCTGTCTCTTTGGTGAGTGCACGCGCCCTATAGCAAAAACTCTAAAAAAAAGATAACACAGCACAGTTAAAGAGAACATCGCAGAGAGACGCCCCAGCAGCCGTCCACTTCCTGCACACACGTGACCTTCCCTCCCCGAGGCCGCGGCAGGGTCTTCAGAGTCACAGAGTGCGTTACGGTAAACCCTGCCGCCCGCGTACTTGGCCTCACTTCTCCCGGAGCCTCGGGCAGCCCTGGTGGCCACGAAGGCCCACGCTGTGCCGCCTTTCCCCATGTGCCTGCGGCAGTTTCTCAGGAGTGTGATGGCTGCCGGGGTGACGAGTGGAGTGACATCAGGAACACGGCGGGTCCAGGCCGTCGCCCCGCTGTGTGCTGCAGCCCCCCATGCCCGCCTCTCCGTGGTGCTCTCCCCCCAGAAAGAGAACAGAGACTGCGCCGGGTGGTCTCGCTCTGCCTCAGAAGCGTCCTTCCAGACTGCCCGCTCCACAACCCGGAACGGCGACCGTTTGGCACCTCGCCCTCTGACTTCCAGTGGGGCCTGGCCCGTTGGCTCCTGGGAGAAGGGCAGAGGAGAGAGGAGAGCAGAGTTGGGGTCTTTGTCCCCTGGCCTCCTCCCGGCTGGGTGGCTCAGGCTGGCCCTGTCCTCTCCCGGAAGCCACAGCCCATGGACGGCCGTGCCCCGGCTCATGGCACTCCCTGGTCCCCTCGTGCCTTTGCGGGGCGGCCACTGGCCCTGCTTCCACTTCTGGGGGACACAGCCCTCGGTTCTCCTGCCCTGCCGTGAGCTCTCTGCACACCCTCGGCCCTCACTGAGCGCCCCCTCTCTGGCTGGGACACCCACAGTCAAATGCACAGGTCACGCTGTGACAGTCACACGTACCCCCCGCGTCCCTGTCGGGGCCTCACGCTGACGGCCACGTGGCGGGGCTGACGCGCCCGTTTTCTTAGGGTGTCCTTGCATGTGTGCTCGCTGTCCTGCCCGGGACCGTCCCGCTGACGAGCTCAGAGGGGCCCCCAGCTCCTGCCTTTCTGTGCTGTTCAAGGCTCAGAGCAGGGTCGGAATGCGATTGGACCCTCGGGGTAGCGAGTAGCTAGCCCAGTGGGGTTCTGATCCCTTTGCAGAGGGGCATCCTGGACTCCACTCGCCCTCTGCCCTGTGGGAGCCCAGCGCCTCCACCGTCATCCCCGTGACTCCAGTGAAAGGCTCTGTCCCCAGAACCTTTTTTGCCACAAGGCGCGTGTGCCCTAGGCACAGAAAGGCAGAGTCACACTGTGTCCCTCCACCTCGTCCCCTTCCGGGGTGTGGACACGCACGCATGTGTGCCCGGGGTGTTCTGGGCATTAGCTGTGCAGTCGGCCGTGCGGAAACCAGCCACCTTCCCCACCACGTCCCAGGCGCCCTCACCCCAAAAGTGGCCTGTGTTCATGGTCTAGCTCCCCCTGAGGTCCTGCACAGGCCTGCGGGAGGGCTGGGTGGATCACGTGTGCTACACGGCGGGGGGGCGTTTCAGATAACACCGCAGGTGCGTGGAACTGCGTGCACACGCCACGCACAGCGCACAGAGGCATGAACGCTGCCGTTCTCCCGCAGGTCTTGGTGGGACCTGCGTGAACGTAGGCTGCATCCCTAAGAAGCTCATGCACCAGGCCGCCCTGCTGGGCCAGGCGTTGTGCGACTCGAGGAAGTTTGGCTGGGAGTACAGCCAGCAAGGTAGGCCCCGGGGAGAGCCAAGGGAGAGGGGCTGCTCGCTCTCATGGCAGGGTCCTCCCTAGAGCCGGCTGGGGTCCTTCCCCATAGGAGGGCCCAGGCCCCTCCGTAGAGCATCTGGGGTCCTTCCCCACAGGAGGGCCCAGGCCCCTCCATAGAGCAGGCTGGGGTCCTTCCCCACAGGAGGGCTC